ATCTGTCTAAATAATTTTGTACGCATTTCAATGGTCGAGCAAAAATTGCTATGAAAAAATGAAACTAATAAGAACAACAACAGTTGAATTCGTGGGTGGGTCAAGTTTATTTTTAATAAAAAAGAATCAGTATTTTCAGGTTGCTTTTAATGGATTCTGTTTATGACATCTGTGTGATTTTGATATTATTTTAGTGGTGCCTCTGTGTTGGTCCATTGCTCATTTTCCGCGTATGTGTTTCAATTTAGTTCGACAATCGAACTTAGATTTTAATAAAATTTGTGGGCAACGCAATGCATTTTGTCAATTACCAAATGAAATAGTTCTTAAACTTTCGATAGCCTCATTTCTGTCAGTGGAAAAGGAAGAAACCAAAGAGTTTCCACCACAAATTTATAAGAACTCTATTTATCGAACGTCTAAGCTAAAAAGTGTGCCTGATCAATACCTACTTATTGTATCTATATACTACATATTTTTCATCTCGGATTCCGCTGCTCTGCCTTCAATGGAGTCATCCAAGTTGGGTGCTCGAGTGCCTAATAGGGGGATATATCAGCCATGGGATGAAGACGCCGATCTGCTGCACACGAGGCAAATGACATTTCATTTATCTTGCAGCTCGTGCAGCAATTCCAAGCGGGTTTTCCTGCAGTTTTCCCCCAGCGGATGAGGGGGTCGGCGGCGCAGGGGGATGAGCAGTTGCGTTGGCGACCAGCATTCGATGTCAGCGATGAGTTATTGACACTCGAAGCTGCGTCCCATAAAGCTCTCAGTTCCGGTGATCTCTGGCTGAGTTATCAATGTGAAAAATAGAAACACGATTATGAAATTATCAAAAGAAATGCGTGTACGTGAAAAATGGGCGGGGGGAGGGAAAACGTCGAGCAACATCTAGGCAACATCTAGGCAACACAAGGTGTGAGTGAGACGGGAATTGAGAGCCATCTGCGGATGGGTGGCGCTTTCGTTTTGCTTGAGTTTACCCCACAGCCGTAGATTGGATGGAATTTGTAGAGCCAGCGGCAGCATAATTAAATTCAACAACTTAAACTAGCACTCTGAAATGGTTTCGATTTATTAAACACCCTGGAAAAAAAGCTCACCTATAAGTAATCGGATTTGCTGAGCCAAAACAAAATTTTTTTAAAAATTATGCACTGAAGAAAACATGCGCTTAGATCCAGAAGTAAATAATAAGATCCTAAGCATCCTTTCCCCATTCAAAATGCTATATTAGTGATACAATTTCTGCTTTCTTTAGATAGATAAACTATCTACTGGGTACCTCCAGCTGTAATTTAGGAGCACTCCGTTCATTTCAGCCCCAGCAATCTTAGCCAGCCTACACACACGCGACCGTCCGTCTCGCTCTGCCACAATGCTGCCCTCCTTTTCTGTCGAACGTGTGTGGACAATAGAAATGATCAAGGTAAATATGACTGTACATATGTACATTCGTTTATTTGTACCGCTCAACTCACCTTGCGGCGCACGAATTAAGACCCAAAAGAGCGAGAGAAAGATCGAGAGAGTGTTTCTTTCGGTTTGCTTTTTTTGAAGATGATACACGAACCATGAATTTAATTATGATAATGAAAAAACAATTTTATGGCCAACGAAAACACGCAAATAAAGGCTTATAAGAGTATTAGTACTGGTATACGTGTGGGTACAACCTAGGTTATTATGTAAACTAAGTTGGAAAGCGTCTGGACAAATGGGTACTTTGCTGTGTATGAGTGAGTATGCGATGGTGTGTGCCTTATATGCATGGAATATAAGTTCGTCGGCCATCGCAGTTTACGGATTAAGTGCCGTTGGCTCTATTACTCGCCTCCAACATCCAAAATGGCGGCGATCGCATTGCGCAAGGTACAGTTGCCTCCGAGCTTAGAGGCCATAATTCAAAAACCGACTTGAATTCGTATTACGCAGTCTCTGAATATGTGGTTTTGAAATTTCGCATTACAGCTGCCGGTTTTAGCCATCCAAAACGAGATGTAAATGCGGATGCTATGTAAATGTACGTTAAGAAATGATCGATACGAATTTGTTGGTTTTACATAGTTTAGGTATCTAACTTATATTTAAAATGTCTGCTGCCTTCGAAATAGTTATTATGATATAGATTAAAATTTCATAAAATGCCACAATCATTGGAATTGGAAATTGGCAAATATGCTTGAAACTACAACTGTATGCATAATTAGCATAAATACGTATTTTAGATGATGAACTAACATTTTTACTTGATACAAACCCTTTTCCATTAACTGCAAACAAATCATTAAGCTGGGCATTAGGCATTTCTTTGCAGCCAAACGTGGAATGAAACCAGACACAAGATGCGAAGTGAAAATTGACTTGGGCTAAGCTAATGCTAATGCTAAGCTACCGTAACACATTAAAATTATCTAGTAATTCCGCCTCGGCTTCAATTAGTGACCTGGCCGGGCAGTCAAGTCCAACGGTTGTACTTCACCCGTCAGCGCCAGAGTTGAATGAACCGGGGCAACACCAACACCAAAACCAAAACCAAATCCAAATCGGAGTTGGTCAGGTCTGCTAATTAGCCAGAAGCGCAGGCAAAACAGAGACCCGAACCCAAAAATGCTAATAATACTGATGCTAAGAGTCAATCAATCATTTTGCATTGCCGAAAACAGTTTCGCAGTGCAAAAAACACTTACACACATCTAACCATCCAGCCATCCAACCATCCGACCATCCAACATCCACCCAATAAGTCATGTTGTGCTGGATGAACCAATTCTACGGAAATTTTCATTGCGATTCGACCACCCATTGCTGACGCTGCAGTTACCAGATTGAGATACAAATACATCTGATAGGTTTCAGAAACAGAACGAAAATTGTTGCATGTATATAGTGTACTAAAGTCATTGAAATAAAAATGCTGAAGATATGCTCTAATTTCTACTTTATTCCTTTTGTTTCCGAATGCCAGAATAAATGGATCATTTTAAAAACATTCCCAGTTTTTGGGTATATCTAAAAATATATCAAAAATTAATAAGGAAAGTGCAACTCAATTGAGTGCCCTATAATTATCCGCAGTGCACGGCACCAGCATGAGAACAATAACTTGGTGCCGCATTAAAATATCTGCAATCATTAAAATTGCGCACGCTGACATTGTTTTGGAAATTGGTCGGCATTGTTTAGAAGCCATACCCGGCATTTCCCCCATTTCCCCCATTTCCCCCACCCAATCCGATGGCTCGGAAAGCTGTGCTGCATTTTCGCCGATGACATCGCTTTTCTTTTGTGATGATCCAACGGATCCAACGAATTATGCCCGTTGAGAACGGGTCTCGAGTGCCCGGCCCGAGGCATCGAATTTGGAACAATAAGCTCGAAACGTTTTGCACACAAAATGCGTCAAGTCCTCGACTGCATCGCCATGCTCTCCTCCAGCTGACAACCCATTCATTGGATGATTCACAGCCGCACAATAAATAAGCTCCACGGCACACATATTAGATGGTAATCCTGGCATCTACTTTACACGGATTTCGGTCATCCTTCATGGTTGGTCATCTCAAGAGCTACCAGCTTACATCCCTGATTAGTTATAATGGATGTTTATTTAAAATAATACTGCATTTTTATGTATTTATAATTGTTTTTATAATTTGTTCAAGCCCAAATAAGTATACCTGTGATTGGTTCGGCAAAGACTTATAATTAAAAGATAGTTTAGTTTCGCTTCATATTTATTCATATCAGCAGAATGCATTTGGTAACCCAATTATTTTACCTTTTTGATGCCTGGCTAATTAAGTTAGTGCAAGGCAGGTGATTTTTCTTTATGAAAAATCCAAGCCCACTTGCACTTTACTCTACCTTGGCTGCAAGCACAAGCTAAACTGGCTAAAATGAATTAAGTAATTAGGCATAGTGCAAGTGAATTTCAGCTGGCTTATCTGCTCCAATCGATTCGCAGTGACATCCCACAAGTGTCAGCTGCAGTTGGCCAGTAAGTATGCATCGCTGGACGGGTGATTTTGTGTGTCCAAGCTCAAAGGAGAGCTGCTGACTGCATCCAATCGAGTGTGTGTGCTCGTGCTGGCTGAGGGCTGACCTAAAAACCCAATTGGAAGGCTAAAGTCAATAGAGAAGGCTTCGGCGATGGGCCGAGGCCGGCTGGAGTTGGAGATACTCGTGCTCGGCCCTCGGTCGCCCAGTTGCTCAGGCCACCAGCTCTGGAGCAGCTCCATCTCCAGCTGCGTCGTCCATTCTGGGCCCGTCGTCCATGCCCGAGCGCATTCGACCGCAGCATACTCCTCCACATAGCCACCTCGTCCTCGCTGCAGGCCCCTTTCGACCCGCCTGCGTGCGCCATCAATGGTCAGAAGTCAAGCCACAGCTCGGCTCCGATTTGAATGGCAAGTGGGTGGGGCGGGTGGCTGCGTTGGGCAGGGTCAGGGGGCAAGGTGGGTTCGCCAACCAACAGCTGGACTGCGGCGTGGCACGTGCTGGCGCCAATCCCGCGCAGACCCAACACTGCGCACTGGAAGGCGCCGCGTGTGGACGCCATCCGAGCCGAAAGCTTTGGGATAGGTCGTGCTCCGAGCTTGCGACCTCTCTGAGCAGCGCCCTGCACTCGGAGAAATAAAGTTCTCAGTTCTCAAGCTACTATTTTCTTTCATTGCACTAACAAGGTGGGACAAGTTCACCTATACTTCCACTTGGAAAACTGATTCTATTTGCAGAGCTATTTACTCTGTTGAGATATAACCAATTTAGGAATTTCAAATTTATAATCATGTTTTAAGTGGTAATATTTTCCAGTGCCTAAGGGTGGAAGGTGCCTGCGAGCAGCCCTTGGTGCGCGGAGCTTTCCGCCAGTGGTTTTGAACCCGACTGCGACTGGAACTGGAACACATCCGCGAGTGGGACGCGACTTGGAACACCTCGGTGCAGCAGCACCAACGACCCGACGCGACCACCAGGCAGTCACCCAAATTAGTTGCCAGCGATTCGCCTTTGCGAGTGAGTCCTCTCTGCGATTGTCGTGTGTGTTTGTGCCTGTGTCTGTGCCAGTGCCAGTGCCAAGTGCCCCATTGCCCAAGTGTCTGTGCCTGTGTCTGTGGTAGTGCAAGTGGCCGTGTGTTTGTGGAAGCCAGGATTGCAGTGCTCCAGCTCCCGAGGAGCGAAATCGCGGAGCCAGGCCAAAAGTGATAGGCTGAAGCAGGGCTGCTGATGCTCTGATGCCCAGATCCTGTGATCCTGTGATCCTGCGAGCCCGCGTCTGGTCAGTGCTGCAGTGAGTGTGTGAGAGCGATATCGAGATATATCCTGGCATCCTGGCACTGTGATAAGTGGAAGGCGGAACAAAGCTCGGGGGAAATCATGGCCGAGTGGCTCGCATCCTCCTTGTCCTTGTGCTGCGTCCAAGCAAATGGGCACAGTGCCCCCTTAAAGCTGATTTTGCTTTTTCCCCGCTGGTTTAAAGCCCAGTCAACGCGTGCCGCCGTTTAATTATGTAAAAGGACTCCTACACAGACACACTCGCACACTCACACACTCACACACTCTTCAGTTGGGGCACATAAAACACTGAATGTGTGTGTGTGTGTGTATATAGGGAGCACTACATATCTTGCTGGATTTTATTTGTACCCCGATTCGTGGTCAAATAAAAGCGAACGCAAATCGAAATTTCATTCTTAATACAAATTGATTTTTTCCCATTTGCTCTTGCCGCCTTGTGCCCATTCTGGTGCCTTGTTTTTGTTTGGGGCATCCAGCGGCACACGGTGCGTATGATCGATTTTGAGTCGCCTTTCAGCTGGAGACGCAAAGCAGAGCTGGCGGCCTGAAAAGTCCAGCAATTAAAATTAAATTGTTGTCCCCTCGTTGCGAGGGGCTGTGGCAGCCGGTTCAGTTACCCCACATCCTTTTGCCCCGTCCCCGCCCCCTCCAGCCCCCAGCCCCCAGCCCCCTTTACAACATTTGCTTTTGATTGTGTGGCACGCGAGACAACTACACACGCACACTCTGTAGAAAAAAGGAAAATAGGAGGATAAGCAGGACGAAAAACTGAAAGGCACAGAGTTGCTAACTGTGCCACCACAGCAGCTGGCAGGAGTCGCTCCAAAGACAGGCGAGCCTTATATACACACTCGTACTCGTGCTCGTACTTATATATCTGTGTATATATGTACACATGTACGTGGCTGTATGTGGCATATCCTTTGCATGCACGTGCTTCCCCAGCCAAAGTAATTTGGCCTAAACGGGCAAAAGGCTGGAAAAACAACAGCCAGAGCTGTGGAAAACAAAATTGAAGAAACCAGAAAACATAACAAACGGCATACAAGATGTATAAAGAGAGACAGCAAAAATGTTGGGCCAAAAAGAAAGCAGAAAGAAAGCTGGGAAAGCACAGGCCGGAGAAGAAAAATCAATGATGCTGCCAAGTGGCTTTGGTATTTGCAATAATGCAAAAAGAAAAACCTTTAACTGCCTTGGCGAATGTGGGTCCATTTTGTTTGTGTCCATGTGCTTTCGCTGCAATTAAATTTGATATGTGCACTATTTGATTACTCAGCCGTAACAACTGTGCTTTAAATGTCACCAGATTTCGGGCGAATGTTGATTTTATATGTGCTGGCTGATGCGTTGTATAATTAAGCTGCTTAGAACATGTTTAATTGACAAACATCATTAAAATCTCTATAAAAGTGAGTTGCTGTATAGGTAGCAGTTGCTATAATTAATTAAGACTGCAGCTTAGCAGATTTTGATATATAACAAAAAGACCAAGCGAAATATTTTCAATTTAGTAAAAGGAAAAGAGCTACTTTTAATAAATGAACATTTTGACTAAATTTATTAATGTTTTCCAAAGCGTTATATGAAATTGAGCAATGTTATTTGCTTATTAAAACTGTTTCCGAAACTCATGGACTTTAAAGGAACATAAGGGACTCTAATTAATGGACAGGCCCCAAAATTCCGTATGCAGTTCATCCTCGAAAGACTTTCCCGTGTTATTCCCGCATGACTCGAATTTCAAATGATGAAAGCATTACGCAACAGTCAGCCTCATAACAACCATAACCGCAATCCCTGCCAAATGGGTCAAGTTTCTGGCATCCAGCTAGCCTTGACTCCCGACTGCCTACGCAGCTTCAGTGCCAAATAAAGGCAGGTCCGCCATGGATTTGACTTCGAAATGAAAAGTTCTGGCCAGGAATGGGCTCACCGCCAGTGATTTAGTCCCATGCACGCACACCCGCAAAGAGCTGAGCAAATCCAGGGCAAAGTAAACGGGCAGCGACACCTCCAGCGGCACCAGGCGCCCAGCTCCACCTGCCCAGCTGCTCCACCTGCAGGGCACTGCTCCCAGCTGCCACTCCAGTGGGCACCCCGCCCGGACCGGAGACTAGTACGGGTTCCTTCGGTGGCGACCACGGGACTCTGTTTACCGCACAAATTGCATGCGAGCTGCAGCTGCGGCTCCTGTGGTGCCTGGCTGTACACTGCACAAAACCGGGCGCTAGTTTTGCAATTAAAGCGGGAAGTTTACTTTTATAAATGTCTTACCAACCTACCTTTACATCATAGATCTTAGATAGACTATCAGATCTGGAGTATCTAGTTTTGGATTTGTACAAATTCAAACGCTGAGATTTTTTGTATGCTGCACTTAAAAATACTGCTTGCAACTTACCAAGAATATTTGATCAACCTTGTTTTATTCATGCCCCGTGATGGATTGCTTTTTCCGAGTGCTGGCTCCGACCTGTTCAGACTCTGCCATGCGCAACTTTATTAACCCCGTTTTGAAGAGGTGGCAGAGCCATGCATTTATGCCCATTGTTTCAGCCGAGCCGCTCCTCTGGCGCAGCTCCCATTCGCCACGCCCCCAGCTGCTCCTATTTGTGCCGCCCCTTCGTCCTCCCTTCTTGCTCCCTTCTTCCTCCCGCCCAGCAGGAGGCCAAGTGCTTTTTTCCCGTATCTGCAAAATTCTGGCTACCATCTTCTGAACTCGTTGTAGCTGTCGTTTGTCGTGACCGCGCGCTGATGTTTGCCCCGCCAGCCTCAAGAGGTTGCCCCACCGCCCACCGCCCACCGCCCACCGCCTCCTTGATGTAAGGAGCTGGTGCAAAGCAATTACCACGCCCCCTAACCTCCGCTCTGTGTGTGTGTGTGTTTGTTTGTTTTGCTGCTCGCGAGACGGCGACGTCGACGTCGTCGGCTTGGCTGGTGAAAAGTTTATAATTTTATTAGGCCCTACAGAAATTGGGTTAGTGTCGCTTTTAGTTGCATTTCCCAGCGACGAGTGACAACTTGGCAGCGACGCTCAGATAGTTTCCACGCGGCTTTGTAGTGTTTACACGAAAGGCACCCCATCCCCCATTCCGCATCCCGCCCCTTTTCTAGTTTTCCCCATTTTCCGCGCCAAGTGCTGAAAGGCTGTTGCCCGTCATCTTAGAGGTGGGCACGCGGCATTATGCTAAAAGCCATGTTGGCCAACTCCTTTGGCGGTGCGCCGCTTGAGCACTTTGAGCCACGTTTGGACATTTGCAAATGATGAAGAAATGTGGATCGGGGGGTTGCTGCTCAAAGGGCAAGACTTTCCTTTTCCCAGCCGCATTTAAATCAGAAATTTCTAGTTGTATCCTTTGAAATAAAAGGAAACCCAGTTTTAGTCCTTAATCAAAGTGGAAACCCTTAGCATTAAAAGCACGCAGTTCAATCAGCTTGGGCGATAACTAGTTCGCTAACTATTTAAATGTATATTACATTAAGATTGCATAATAATTGCGCGCAATCTGTATCTCAAGCCCATTTGCTTGGACTGGTGCCTCATTTTTGCCTCCCCATCACAGAAAGTGTTCAAGTGGTGCTGTTAATAATTAATTAAGCCAAAATTCGCGTAATGATCGCCGTCGTATAGTGTGAAAGTTGGTCCCGATCTCCCAGTGAGCATTACGTCAGTCGGCCAAAAGAGATGAGAATCTTCTAGCCAGGTTACAAGCGAGCCAATAAGCAGCGACCAGCAGGTAAGAAGAACGCCACTCTGATTAGTCCATTCAATATGGGTTTTTATTATATTGCCATTTATTTTTCGAAAAAGATTTCTATGTAAATAGGAAGCCGTTTGTATTGTCTAGTAGTTGCTTTTCGACTTTATCGCGCTTTCAGCAATAAATTTCATGAAAGTACGAATTTTAAACAAAACTTGCCTATAAATTTGTGCACAAATACACATGCTCGGCAACAGTACGTTGCAAAACTATAAGGCAGCGAATAATTAGGTATCTAACTTTCGGAACTTAAGTACTTTCGAAATGCTGGTGTAACTTATTACTAGTTTTAAAATATTTGATGGTGGTCTATGTAAAATGATATATTACTTAGGTATATTGAATCTCCCGTTAGTGGTCTTATCTCATTTAAAGCTTCCTGCCATGAAACGCACTGTACCCACATTGAGTTCAATATCTATCTCAGCAACGGCGACCGAAATTTATGCATACGGAATCGTATTTTCGCCTCGATTGGCTCGGTGTGGCTTTGTGGCTCTGGCTTAATGAAGACGGGACAATAATAATTTTTAATAGGTTTTACTATTTTGGCTTAGATCAGCTTACGCGCCCAGGGAGAATGGCCAAAAGCGCGGGGGGACTTCGAGGGGAGTGAAGCTCGTGTGTGCGGAGAGCTCAAGGCGGATGGGCTGGCAACATTCAAATTGAATCGCTTTTATCTGTGTTTTGTCACTAAATACTAAATTGGCAACTGAAGTCGAACACTAGCTCGAAGTCCAAGCTGAAGCTACTTGCGGTCCGCAAGTTTGGCAGTCGATTTGGTATTGAAATGGGCACTGGCTGTGCGCAAGTAACAACCAATGAGATCATGATCCATATTTAGTCAGATTCCGGGCCGGATTGAAGGCGAATTAAATCAGTATAGGTGATGAGATGATTTGATTAGCATTTATCGCTCGCACTGTAATTGCTTGAATATTCTTATTTTTACAAGCAAATTAATGGGAAACGGGTTCGGGAATGCTTAAATATTATTCAGCCTTAAATACTTTAACTGACCATCAAATGCGATCTACAATGCGAAGTGATACTTCTTGTATACTGATAACTTGGCTATCCTTCTTTAGCACTTAAACAATCTCCTCGATATTATAAATGTTTTTAGCACGGCGTCCTTTATAAAGTAGTTTCCTTTAGGATCGGGACACGGATTTAATGCGAAGGGTATTTCCGTATTTACACCATAGATAAAACGGTTCTTAGAGTAAAGCCAAAAAAATCTCACTGCTTGGCAAATTCAACATTCGTCGTATAATGTTTACTATCTATATCTTAATATCCGTTGAGTCTGCGATATCTGTCTAAAAGCTTCTATTGAGCCTGTCGCCTAATAAATTAATTTATAAAATAAAATACACTTAAATAATTATTCTGCATTTGTATTGTTACACAGCAATGGCAAAGTAACTAAAAAATGTAGCCATAACGCCTTATTTATAGAGTAACTTTTAATGAGATTAACTCTAATTAAATAGGTGTTTATTAGCGAAACTACAATATAACAATTAATTAACAACATTGCATACATTCCTATGCTTTTCCACTATAAATATCTGTATATAAATACGCATGTACATACAAATATCTTCAGACTTATAGCAATAATCATTTTGTGGAATGCAAAGTCGAGGTTTTAGTGTTGATGGGTTGTAGTAATTAATTATTATCAGGTAAAGGGTTGGCAGCTTGTTTTTAGCTTTGTACGCCATTCTAGGAAGTGCGTAGCGTAAGTGGAGTAAATGAATCTGCTCTGTGGTAGGAACGAAAGACAAGAGCCTCGACTGGCTAATGACGTTGACGAGGTGACGATGGCCAAGTGGCCGAGCATGGAAATGAGAGGTGAGAGCCAAGAACTGGTTCCGTCCGAATGACCGATCGGCAATTGGCTTGGGGCGGAGCCAGGTGGCCAAAACACTTCCGTAAATACGCAAAAACCAGTACACGGTGGGGACAATCATCGCGGCATTACTTAATCGAGCTCGAGGAGCGAGCGCGTCTTCTGGCAAACCAGTTTGCATGCCCAACGCTTTCGACGGAGTTATTTAACCATAAATTAGAGGTTGACTAAGTTCTGTTCAATTAGATGGGATCATTGAAGCGGGCACTGTGGAACGAGCCAAAGAGCTAGCCAAAGTACCTATAAATCATGTCAGGATGGCGAGTTCAAAGAACGATCGAAGCGAAGAACTGATTCTATGACCTGATAGCACGGAGAACCAATCCCGAACCCCTACATCGCCACCAATTAAAGTGGAGCCACGAAGCAATGTCACATGCCCGTGGGTACAGGTGCCTAACGCATAGATACCTGTCCCTGTATCTGTATCTCTGTATCGGTATCTGTGTATCTTTGTATCTACACACTGCCCTGGGGTCCATGACGTTGAGCAATCAACTTAATAATAGCCCAAGAAATTACATTTCAACTTATGCTTGAATAAATTATCAATTATATTTTTGTGAACTTGATGTGGGGTTTCAAATTGTGGTCTATCATAGCTTTCTCAGAAAAAAAGGCTTATAAAGGCTAGCTAGATGGGCAACTATTAGTTGCTATATGATTGCATTTTAAATACCCTGAAATGAATTATTATTTTAAACGACCCGCAATTTATCTTATAGCACTACAGAGTTCTGAAAAATTGCAAAATTGTTTTATGATAAAGCTGAATTTTATTTATTTGCGAATGTTTCACAACTAGTTGGCTTAAAGGGCATAAAAATCGTATTGGATTCGGCTTCCGCCAGAACCAGTGGCTGAGAATAATGAAAACTGCACATGAGATTTGGGTGACCATGGAACGGATATAAATAACTATTCAGATAGAGTTCGCTTTGTTCGCAGCTTTGTGGGCTGCATTAAAATGTTGGCAATTGAGTGGATCCGTTAATTATATGGCTCGATCAATTATTCATTTGCCGGATTACCTGAGAAGCGCTCGGCGAAAAATGAACTTCATTTAAAATGATTCTGCGAAATTCGTTTTTACTTCGCCGCCGCCGCCGCGCTTCTCAGTTCCCAGTGGACGCTATGGATGGCCACAACTCTGGATCCTCATTTCAATATTTTTATTGTCTGATTGAAGTGTGACGTTTCGCTGTGCAGCTGTGGTTGCTCTGGCCAGCCAGCCAAGTTTTGAGCCCAGCTCCGGGTCAAGTCCGGTCGGCTTTTGGCAAAGAGATTAATTGAGGTTGGCTGGTAGCTTGAGATCTGAGATCTGGCGATCTGGCGAACTGAGCATCTGAGCTTCGGAAGATCTGGTGGCCTGGTGATCTGCCTGAAAACGGGAATCGCAAGCGCACCAATTTCGCAGCTTAATTGTTTGGTTGCATGGCAAATTGCTCTCGCATATATACATATATGTGTACCTAAATAATGTAGTGCCCACATGGATTTCATGCGAATCGCTGCCTTCTAAAGCATCATCAATCTTGCCAAGCGCCTTTCAGCATTTCCAAGCCATATCGATTGTTGGCCGGCCAACTTGAAGGACTTCCGCTGGCGGGCAGCACTGCAGTCACCCTCAATCTGTGTAGAAATGATGCAGTTCTCTTAAATTCCATTTCACGGAAGTCCGCTGGGTGTTCTAGTGATTGCCAGTTTAAATATTAAATAAACCCATCGTGCCTTGATCTTTTACAAACAACTGGAAAAGCGGAAGAGAGCTCCTAAGCGGTGCTTAATATTTATAAATTTATAAATCAAGTTAGAAGTATTAATAAAGAGTCGAGAAAACTCCTATGTCGTCTTATTTAAATAAAATTATAAAGGAATAAAGCCTTAACGTTTAAGGTAGCCAAAAGCTTCGTACTTTGTTTGTTTGTCAAGTTAGTAACGAAACACTCTGCTAAACAATGTCTTAATATGCCGTCCACTGCCACTTTTGGGTGTACTTCCCGTTTATTACCCAGTCCGCCCTCTTATTAACACTTTTGAGCGGAAGGGGGCATAATTAATTGGCCAGAATGCCAGAGATGCGAGTGCAGGTTAATTGGGCTGCCGGCTAAATGGCCTCAAATTGGACGCTTCGCTGGCTGTAGCCATGTACAGACGTATGTAGGTATGCCATCCAGTGGAATTAGAGCCGACGATAGGTGGGAAAACTGGCCAAGGAGCAAGGAGCGCTTTCCACCTGTCCGCGCGACTCTGCGGCGATGACGTTGACGGTGACCACCGGCGCAGGTGGAAAATGGCCTCATCCCCCGCCCAGAGTTCTTCGATTTTCACCGGGTGCGTGTGAATGGGACAGTTGCTGCTGGCTTTCACTCTGCGTGCTCGTTTTGTAGTCGGTAAATAGTTTTTGTTGAAATTTCAATATGTGTAGGGGGGCGGCAGGACTACAGGTAGATAGACCGCAAATGAAATCATCGAGCGAGTCACCGACCGTGGTCACGGTCGATGGATATTCCGTGTCACAGTTTGCCTTCAATCGATTTCCCCTGGGCGACGACGAGTGCAGAGGTCAGTTGTTGTTCACCGCAGAAACTCGATATGCGAGCCAGGATCTGGCCAGAAGTCCAAAGCAAATATTTCGCCTATGGCAAGGACCTCATACATGGCTCATCCAGGACATGCGTCGGTGAGCATCATCACAACCATCCGCGGAGGCCGGTCAACAAATGCCGTCATTTCCACCAAAGGCAAACACTTGCAAGCACAGCAGATGCAAGGAGGCAGGGATGCAAGGATGCAGGGATGCAGGGATGCAGAGATGCAAGGATGCAGGGATGCAGGGATGCAAATGCGGCGGACAGCCTGCGGCGAAAATGAGAGGTGGGCGGCGTGTGGGAATTGTAATTAGTGGCACTTTCCCAGTTGGCTCTGTTTGCACACACTCGAGTGGGCTGCGCTGCGCAGAGGAGGTCCTGTCGCATCCTCCTGCCTCCCAAGTAGATCTCCTTCCGACTGGCAAACACACATATATCCCCGTCAAATATGCACTGCAAATATGCCG